TTTTAGTTTGGCAGAGGTTTTTCGGACCGGACGAAAATATCCGTTCAGTTCATTCCTCATTTTCTCTTCATTAACACGAACATGTAGATAAAAAAGAATATTAGAAGTGAGTACAAAGCTACTCGTGTGGCAAGATATGTGTTTTTACCGAAACAACCACGTCCAAAATAATTTTGAAATCACTAAAGCAAAAGTAAGTGAAACTTGCCTTTTCAATGCTGTAACACATCATTCGACCGCACTTTCACATGTGTACCTTCCAATAAGTTTGACACACCGAATATCAGTGAAAACATTTTGTCGCATCGAAGTATTGCGTATTTAAAGCTCAAAATCCACAGATTTGTTGTGAGGCGGCGGCGCTCGCAGAACCGCTCTGGTCCCACGCGGCCAAAAATGCCAAAACGCGCGATGTCGTCAACGTGTTAACAGCCGTGTCGATCCCTGGACTATTGTGAGGGAGGGAAATTGAATAGTGAAGACACGAAATAAAATAATACACAGAAATCGATTTACTGTAGAAGTTCCTTTCTGAGCACCGATAAATCACGACATCATTTCAATTGTACTGATATACATGTTATGGTTTTGCTTGAAAAGGAAGCACTGGGAGAATGTACTGCAGGAAAAATTCTGACCAGCTCGAATCTGCACCTTCGAACTACTACTACTTAAAATAACTCGTTCAACTTCATACCAAATCTTAAAGTCATAATTTAAGGAGACCTTTGGAGGGGTAGTGGAAATGGCTTCAAAAGTGCATAGACGTCGCTGTGATCAGAGAACAACACAATTCGCATGTAGCTGCGACGGGACAGGTCCCTCGGACCTCCGACAAAAAACCTGTCGCAACTACGTGTCGTGAATTTAATGAGAAATCGTTCACGAATGGCGAGGTTTTGAAATTCACTATTTATTTTGGAACAACTTTCAACGTCTTCCCTGTTGAAGACGGCCAGGTTTTGAATCAGTTTTTTTAATGGAACTTCTCATTCATTCCTTTATTGACGTAGGCAATAAGACCACGTGAAGTAACGATACATAACAAAAGAGCCAGCCATTTGCACGAATTCGCGTAGGTGGCTTAAGTGAAATAACTCTAACAAAAGTAATGTAGGAAAAGGGACAACATGATGAGGCACTCGTGAGACAAACAGAGAGAGAAGAAAAAAAAAACTAACTTCGAGAAAAATTCTAGTCCAGCTGTCGTGAGTATAGGAAATTAAAACCAGCAGCAGCACAATAATTACAGTTCTCATGAACGAGGTCAGTTGTATAATAAACCGTTCACTTTAGTGGAATGAAATGTTTCAAAAGGATCGTGGAGAAATGAGAGTTTTCCAACAGTGAGTCTTGGGAACTCTGCGTATGATGTCGCTATACTGGGGGTCCATGGATGAGTTTGACTAAGTGCCAAATTAGATTCGAGCCGCTCCAATCATCGCTGCTAACAGCTGGGAATTCGATGCTATAGTGCAGATAATGGCAGCATGGAAGAAAGCGAACTTGAGCAGATGGTCGAATGGTGATGTCCCCTTTGTTTTCTTTTAAGTACGAGGTTCGCTAACCTTATATGAAACCAAGTATTTTTCTGAATAGGATTGATCCATTCTGGAGTCCAACATTTCGACTTCTCATAAATTATACCTTTAATTATCTTTTTAGACTAGCTCGCATAAGAATACAATGGTATCATTTGCGGCAAATAGTAGGGTAAAATCTACCTGAATTGATTGCTTTATTTGTGACTGTTGTAAATCGACAAGTCCTTGTACTTTGTAGCAGGGATAGTTTTCAAAACGATTATAAAGTGGAATAGCGGAGTAATTCGTACTGGAAAATTTTTAGGCGAAAGCGCTCCAGTTCAAAAATTGTCAGTGGAGAAAGAAAGTGTTTTTTCGAGGGGTACCTCGAAGAAGAAAAGTAGAAGAAATTCGAGATAGTTGATGGAAATGGGACGGCCGGAAGTAAACATTGACTATTGGGATAGCTTGTAAAAGGGAGCAAGTATGCATGCGTTGCAGCATAGCGTGCCGGAGCGAGGCAGGACCAAACGAGTAGCGAGCAAATGGGCGGAATTCAGAAGGTTCAGATGGAGGCATTTGCAAACAGAGTCTTCTTGAGCGCTTATTAATTGCATTATAGCGTCCCCGAGCACATTGTGCAGAATCTGAGCTAGGAACAGATATGCCTGAGATCCTTGCACAGCCTCAGAAAGTCTTCAGCTCTCGCTCGAAGAGTCACTTTTTTGTCGACTTTTTATGCTGAGCTTGTCACATATTCAAGCTTTAGAAACAAACGCTCCAAAAAGGTTTTGAGAATTGATTGAATTGCTAAAGCCTTCAGCCTCGCGGTCATTGCGATATCGGCTTAACCGACTAACGGTTATTAACGGTGGCGAGGCTGCTGAAGCTATGGTGAGTTATACCTGAAGAGCTTGAGTCTGGAGGCAACAATGGCTGCTCGTTAGGTAGCTGAGTTAGCGCCCTTGTCCGCGGAAACGAGGCAGGTGCGGGCTTCGCAATTCCGTCTACCGGTGCGAAAGGCTTGTTCAACCCAGCATTTCTGGGTAACGTCCAAGGAGGTTTGGGCTTAATTCTCTGATCTTCCTCCTTTATTTACGTTTCTGAAGCACTGGAGAGCGGCAGCTGAAGCGAGTCCAGTATTTTTGCACTGATTTGATAACAACAATCCAACATAATGGAATTTCTGAAGGTTTGTGCTCTATGCGATATAGCTCTTCGGGAAGGACTTGCTACTTGCCGTTTACAATGCTCTATATGTGTTAGCAATTGCTTCGCTACAAATTGGTGTTTCGTCCAGTCGACTTTAGTGACGTAGACGGTTCGAGTTTGCATTTCCGTTTGGTGATTTGAAACCAGCGCAAATAGGCCTGTTGCAGAAAAGCGTAGACCAACTGTAGGAAGTGTTGGAAAAGCATACGAGTACAGTTATGTTTTTTCCATATACTAACATGGTTTTATACTATTACATCGCTCGGCCGCTGAGATTTCATTTTTCTGTGTACGCTTCCCGTCCCTCCTTTTTATCCAGTTATAAAAATCTCTGCAAAATCTATTTAGCTTTGTGTAGCTTTTCAGCCATGGGTTACTCCTATGGGCTCCTTTGTCGCAACCACTAATATATTTGAGAAGGGCATGGACGAAGCAAAAGCTGTGGGATTGGCAACGCATTCTGGAAGCCGATAATCCTGCTGCCTACATTTATCCATAATGAGGGTATTAGCACAATTTGATTAAGCTGCTTAAATAAATCACCGCTACTTTTTGAGATGTGAACTAACTGCTGACCGTCCACTATCGTTCTATACTTTTCAAGAGTGCTACTCGAACGTAAGTGCCCCCGATGACTGAGTGACAGCTGCCGCTTCTTTAACCATATATGCAAATCTTATATAAACACGGTCCAAGCGCAAGCGCTTCAACTTCTCCAAGCAGATCATGGCTTGCTGCTTAATAGTGCGCGAGTATTACTGCACAAGGCTGCAACTGTTGAAGGAAACCTAGGTGAATTTGCTATGATTGTTTCAGTGTTTTAATGGCATACTGATTCAACTCTGTTGTCAATCGCAGGGGATGAAGGGGCTCGAAGTGCCTTCTAATGTGACCACACACGGACATGGTTGAAAACTATCCCAGTCTAATATGTATAAGCGTTGAAATTATTGGATTCGATTGAAAATGAGTGAAGTATGAGTGGTAGGAGCCCAGTAAGCTGCCATAAGAGAACAGCCAAGACCGCTATTTGCAGAGCAAAATTAATGCTCCATTAAGGGTTGGGTTTCTCGTGTGTGCTAGCTGGTTCTGAGGTTATTGCTATGAGTGAGCAGAAATCGAATTAGATGTGCTCTGTTTGAAGGCAGGGCGGAAGTGGTGTAGTGGCAAGTGGCACGCTTACCACGCGAGCGGTCCGGGGATCAAATCCTGGGTCGTGAGTCGCCCGGGCCAACCAAGCCTTCCATCCCTCCGGGGTCGGTTAATTGGTACCAGACTTGTCTGGGAGGATAAAAACACTGACTTGTACATCGGCTGGCCCCCGCAAGTCATTGTATAGGCCACATCGCATTCAAACGCCACTACGAATGTACAAATGGAAGTAGAATGCGTGCCGCATCCCAAAAAGGGATTGATCAACGGCAAATGCTTTATCCTTTATTCTGTTTCGAAGGTGATGAGCTGATCTTTTCAATCAACTATGTGCAGGAATCAGTTTCTGTCTCATCACTGCTTTTCTGATGTCCTGCAACCCATTCTTAAAAGAGATTAGCAAAGATTGCTTCTCGTCGGAAGACTGAAGCACATCATTCTGTGGCTCGAGCTCACCTACGTCAGTTGATTGTGGTCAAAAACGCGTGCAAGCACGAGACGGTCCGAGCTGGTAGTTGAGGATGTTGGGCGATCTCGGAAAACGTCGTCTTCGATGAGCTATTTGATGACATTGAACTCGGTGGATTGCCGCTGGATAATTGCGTCAGGTCAACTTATTATAATGCCACCGAGGAGGTGCAAGGACGTTCAGAATACAACCATCTACCCTACAGCTGCTCAACGTAGCCGCTGTACGGTGATTGCTCTTCTTCCGTCATATAGTGTCTTTCTATTTGGAGGCATTCAAGAAATTGATAACAAAGGCTAGAAAAAATAATAGAGAAGGGCCTATTTTTTGATCGATTTTTCTCAAGTTTATCTCCTTAACTCCTTTCCGATCGCTTATAACTTCCCCAGAATTTCTTTAACTTTGCTTGGATCAGGTTTCATCGTGATTTCCTGGACATTTGCAGCTGTCGCGTTACTGAGTTCCTTCCGACATGACCGTCTTTGCCCATTCTTTGCTTTTGCTGTCTCTCTTTCACCGCGTGCTCTCGACGGCACATGGTGAGTTGAATTCACTTTTTCCACTTCAATTCATTAAACATTTATCAAATATCACATATCAAATATCAGCAGTAACGGAAACGACATGGTTATGCTCTCCAGCGATTACACACACACACACACGTAAATAAAGCTCCTTGATCTGATGCTATGGCACTGCTCTATGCGGTCCCCTCCGCGGTGAAGCTGAACTCCTTGTATGGTGATCGTGAGAGTGCTCCTTCCGTCTCGTTCTGACTCTATGGCGCCTTCTCAAACAGCGGAAATAAATAATATTCAATTGCTGAGAAAGGGACGTGATTCAAGTAACTTCAGAATAATGTATTGCTTGTGACTTTGCAAAGAGCACCACATTCACCTTGGAACGGCTCGGCCTGGGTATTGCCTCACCTGCGCATTTGTTCACGAGAAAGTGTACGTGGGAGCTCGGCATGATCAGTCGCTTGTCGTATCCGACCTCGAACAACATACAGCCTTTGGTGTGGGGAATCCAGTTCAAGGCACCGCATGGTCGTCCCCCAGTGACGCCTTTTCTCGAACACTCTGCTCGGCAGTGCTCTGGAACATGTGTTTCGTGTCATGGCCGTCAAGGCGAACTTAGTAATTCTTACCTATTGTGGAAGTTTTTTCAAGTAGATGTGACTCGAGAGTAAGCAGCATCGAGTTCGGGAAGACAACGAAGCATCGATCTTTCAATGCCGAGCGATACCCTGTCCGTCGAACTACTCACTGGAAACTGGTTGCACAGTCGGAAATTACGAATGTGAATAAACTTCAGGTCCATCCAGTAGCGGGCCATGCGGTTGCAATAGTCCACTCCATTTTTTTTGCAAGGGAAAAAAACCTTCGGGTTGGGCGTAAAAGGGGAAGCAAAATGCTTACACAATTCAGGGATCCCCCTACCCGCAGAAATTGGAATTTCTGTCGACGGCAGCAAATGTTGCACACCCCCCCCCCTTAACTAGATAAGACCACAACAGTCAAAGTACCGCTGGCGTTCGGCTCTAGGAACAGTTGTCCCACAGCGATGTGGTTATGCGTTATCACCACGAATTAGACGGGGGGGGGGGAGGGCAGCAGGTGAGTCCCTACGCTGCCGTGTGCGTGTGAAGGTCCCTTTGTAGTGCTGTGGCCTTTGCAAGTAACTCAACCTATATTGTTGCCTGAACGCTAGTTATATGCGTGAAAACGGACTTCTTTTACTGAGTTTTTGACACATGTCTATCTATATTCCGTCGGAGTAAGGGACATGTGCCGTGCCGCCTGTAGTAATCCCAATTTTTGTAGGGTAGGAAACCTCTGCTTGGGTGAAGCATTTTCCGAAAATTTGAGTTACTGTAGGTGACGGGAAGGGTTGCACTCCGTCGCTCCCCCCCCGCCCCCAAATCTCCTTTATGCGAATACAACCCGTTCTGTTACTACTATTACACTTAGTTATATTCTCGATTTCGATTTCAAATTATTGTCGGTTTCAGTGTTTGTCTTGGATAGCCTTTGATACTACCATCCACTTTTACACTGCATTGTGCACAGACGCGCAGCCGTTTCTCTAGCCCTGCGTTGCGTTCCATACTTGGCTCCAGCAGCCCGTTTACCACGCAGGCATTCATGGTGGTTGACATCCACCCACTGAGAGTTACCTCCGAATGTAATCGATACCTCCTTGTCAGCTGACACTGAGCCTATTCGCTGGTTCCTCCTTTTATAAAAGCGGGGTCAAGCGCCAGGCTACCTATGTGTTGGACACATCCTACGGCATTACTCAATTTCACGCCCTTTCCTAGACATGGATTTGGTCCGTTCTATGAAAAAAATATCGCTTATGGCTTGCTGACAATTCCATCGCAACGAACCTTTTCGATCAGGATTTTGCTCGGGCTGCATTCATTTTCGTAGTAATCCGACGTCGAACTGATGAGTTGAACGTCGTTTAGATGTAAGTTGCCACCATTGAGAGTGCAAGTCTTGAAAGGCGTGGTTCTTTACGATCAGCACATGAGATTGACAGCAGTCTCACCTTCTCGAACTCGTTATAATTGACACTTGCGCAGTAAAAAGTGCTGATGTGCAAGCAGTTCTGAAGGCAAGTCCGCAGATCGAGGCCAACGATGGTTTTTTCCTCGAATCCTACCAAAGATCGTTGTCTGTTCCGCACGAAACACGGTTTGTCTGGCTCTGTAATAACAGAATGGTTGGATTATTCTTATTTGTACTGCACCCACATGCCGCTACGATTCTCGATTCTCGTTTTGTTCGGGTTATTGCTGGGCATTACGTTTTGTGAACAAAATTTTTCGGGGAATATAATTTGGTCATTGGTAGGCCCCACAACTTTTTGCACTCTACCAAACACACATACGTTTTAAGACCCGCTCCACGACTGCCTGGATGTGCGCTGTTGCTATTTGAAATGGAAGTAAACGTGCTAGCCGATCGAGCAACAACTGAAAGAGACCATGAGAAAAAAGCATCGTCCGATGCTGAACTTAAGGGCAGATTCACTGATAACATAGCGCGCTTCTTCTTACTGAGTGGCTCTCTTGGTAGGCCCCACTGCGTTAGCTTTTACAACAGCACAGCACTAGTTCAACAATCGCCTGAATGCACTTGTACTCAATGCAACCTGTGTAGTCCTTCTCCAATTCCAGCTTCTCCAATTCACTCAGACCATTGCGCCCTCCCAAATGGGGAGTCCCATTGGTTCAACTCTCTATCCCCATTGGGGAGGGCGTAATGGTCTGAATGAATTGGAGAAGCTGGAATTGGAGGACTACACAAGTTGCATTGATAACAAGTGCATTTAGGCGATTGTCGAACTATTGTAGTGCTGTCGTAGAAGCTAACGTAAGGTGTTAAGGATGAAGCCCTGCGCCATTTATGGCGCTCACTTATTCGAATGCGATTTCTCTGAGTTATATTCATTTTGGCCACTAAAACTCCCGAGGATCAGTGATTTCCCTAATGGCCTCAAGAATGTCCGGGACGTGTGAATCCGTGCTGCTCCTTTGATAACTGTGAGATTTCCACGTACGGAATCCCTAATCAGTTATTCCTAATGTACCTGCTGTCTTGGTGGGCGCTCTTGTTCCAAATGCTGTCAGTGGTTGTTTTTCTGGCGGTTGTAGGACCTGCAAAATAAGCAGCAATTTT